ATCTATAATGTTGGTCGTGGTGGTTTATATAATGTTCTTAAAAACACTCCTATTTTGGAAACATATATAATTAATCAATATATTTTTTAAATAAAGAAAATTAATCAAATAAGAAAGTCAAAGTATAGAAACTTAAATAACATTTTTAAAGAACTCGAACACCAAAATTAATATTATTAAGAAAATGAATATGTACAAAATGGCTGCACCACAAACTTAGGCAGAATAGATGAATGCATTGGACAGAAAAGTTCCTTGGTCCATCCTCTTAGTTTTCAGTGCGATTTCTTCTGTTGTTTTTGGATTATAATTTATTTTTTAAATTGATTTTTATGTACTTCTAGATAATTGACTAAAAATTATGCTGAAAATGAATAATGTTTTTTTAAAAATACACTGCATATATATATATATATATGTTGCTGAAAAAAAATAATGTTAGAAAAGCAAGGGTTATCAGATTCATTCAGTAATAACATGAAACAAGAGAAGGAAATCACATGGCTTCACATGTATCACGTGGATGGCATCTCTCATGATGTCGTTTTCTATTACATACAGCCACCGTTTTATTGTCCTCTCTCTCTTTGATCTCCAACACGGCAACATGCAAACTGCGACGATTGGCCAAGCTTTTTCAGGCCTGACATGAAAATTTTGATATATTTTCCTCGCCGGTCAGCTTTGGCTGGATGCAATTATTGCCAGGTTGTACTGTAGCCACGTGCCTCTATCTTCACGAACTCATGTCGTCTTTAATTATTATATTATATTAAGCATAGACTCAACTAATTCCGGTCTACCTTTTACTTTCCACAACCTATGGAAGAATATTTATTTTAATTTTATTTTTAATATTTAATTTATTTAAACTTTATAATTTATTATAATTTACTTTATACATTATTCTCGTATCATAAATTTAATAAGTAAAGTTAATTAATTTTATTTTTTAATTTTTTATTTAATAGTGGATTGATTCAGAATTAAACTTCGTAATTTATTTTGAATCATTTTTTATGAAGTTATCTCGTTTTATTAAAGGTCACGGATTTGACAATTAACCCAATTGAATCAAGTTTTTTTTAAATCTTTTTAGTTAATATTTTTTTAATTTTATCATCTAGCAAGGAGTTGATTATGATTTAGAATTCATGATTTATTTAGGTTTGCTTTCTATGAAATTATTTCGATTTTATGACTCAGGTCACGTGTTTTGCGGGTTAAACTAAATATACTTTGATCATTTTATTGTGTCCTATTTACATATATTTTTTTTTAATTTTAGCCTTCAATAATGAGATTATTGAAAATTGAGCTTTATAATTTGTTTTCAATAGCGTTATCACAGTATCCGAGTCATGAATTTGACAAGTTGAATCAATTTAATATATTATCATTGTAATATTTTTTTTGAAGATGTTATCTTAATTTTTTATAAATCAAATTATATTTTTATTAATTATTCAATTTATCTTTAAACATATCAAGTCATTCATTAAAAAAAATAATCTTACCTGTAATATATAATATCTCCAATTCATTAAAAATTGTTGAAAAGAGCCCCTTCGTGCACCATTTTTAATCTATGAAGATCATGGAAACAAGAGTATAAGCTAGCTTAACTTTACCAATACTGCATTCCTGTCTAGGAATTGAACCCAATGTATCAATTAATCCGTCTCTATAATAGAGTTAAAAAGGAATAAACCCCCATTTGTTAAATCCCGACAAGTTGAAAGGAAATGACAAATAAATAAAATAAATAAAGGACTTTAATTGTAACAATACAATGGCATTGACAATTACTGAAAGCATGAGTTAGCCCTAGCTAACCCTGAAAAAACACATGATTGGACACCAGCAATGGGATATGGTGGTGTTAGCCAGTAGCTAACACTCAAATCCCAGCTAGAAGTCAACAAATTTAAGGACACTTTTATTTCTCAAATGGACCGATCGATCGGTCAACTAGGTGTTGACCGACAATCCCCCACGTTTTATTTTCCCGACCAATATTCTAAATGCATTTCTAGCACTCAATGCATGCTAGCATTGCCAACGATCATTGACTGCTGCAATACTCCAAGAATCCCATAAACTCATGATTGCGAATCATTGTTATGCTCTTGTCAATACCAACACCTCCTGCGAAAGATTTCATCAAGTTAATTGCAATGTTGCTGATGAATTATTAGCCTTGTAGTCAAGGCGACTCGTAAAAACGATGGTATAGAAACAGGAGTTCATTGTGGTTCTTACCCATTGTGAGAGCACTAGCGAAGATGACACCAGAGAGGATGAATACAATGAGCGAAGCTCTTCCTAGAATTTTAACGAGTTTTCTTACAAAAAACTGTCCCCAGAAGCCAGCCAAAACAGACACTCCCATGAGATACAATGCTGCAACAACAAATCATACATAGATATGAAATAATAAATCAGTAGATGGAGCACAGAACAGAGTCTGCGCACTAAATTGTTATCTGATAAAGTTGGAGGAGGAGAGATTAAGAATGATGGCTGCGTACCGAAAGGTATTGGGAACCTCTTAAGGAGATAAAACTCCACCACAGACATGGATGATGAGAACATCATAACGAATGTACTTGTTGCACTGGCAACCTGTTAAATGCAACAACGGGATTATTCCTTCAGTGCTCAAATTTCTTAACAAAGAAGCATGGTCATTTGCAGAAAGCAACTTGAAAGAGAGTATGAAGAGCATATGAAGCTCAAGAATTCTTGTTTGCGTGGGCAACTTGAAAGAGAGATCATGCATGGCTGCTTGTTAAAACTAACAAGTAATAGATATTAAAAAAAGAGAAGAAAAAATCATCATACATGGGGGTTGACACCGATCTCGAGGAGCAGAGGTCCCAGAACGAATCCACCGCCTGATCCAAGAAGACCCCCAACGGTGCCTCCTATGATGCCACAGAGTGCGCAGAATAAAATGTGCATGGGAGTCCATTCAATAGAAGCATCACAAATTGTTTCTGTGTTTCCTGAGCTAATCCTCTTCTTGTTTTCTCTGTATAATTTGATTGCTTCATATACGAATACCACCAATGCTACAGGAAACTACAGGAGAACAGAACGCACCCATTAGGACCATCACGAGTAAAAGCTACCAATGATCGATGAGAGAAAAGGAGCGACAAGAATACATGTAAAGAGCAATATTGTTGCTTGTTATGAATACCTGTAGGCAGAAGAGGACCCAGTACCATGTACTGCAAACAGCTACATCATTCTGCAAAATCAATGACAATATAAGAACATGAAAATATATGAAAATATTCGGGACAGAGAGAGGGGGAGAGTAGGCTTGCCTTGATAACTTGAAGGAGGAGGAAAGAAGTCCAAACAAGGAACAGAATCAAAAGCCTTTTCCATTTCAGGTTGAAGCACAATATTTGCTACAAGATTAAGACAGTGGATTCAGAGACTGTTAAGTTAGAGGGTGGTCATTGCACAAGATTATATGAAGGTGGAATTTGTTTACCATTTTTGATTTCTCTTCTCTAGGGATCAGTGGCTCATACTCTGTATCAATCAGAACTGCATGACAAATAAATCACAAGAAATCAATGTTCAAAACTCAACAGGCAGCAGAATGTAATGATTTGCAAAATTTCTGGGCAGATAAAAAAGTGAATCTGTGTTAGTCTTACGTTCACCGCGGGAGTTAACTATAGTTTCTTGTCGCTTGGCCATTTCTTTCTGCAAAAATTCTGAACATCACTTGATAACAATAAAGGAAATGCCTCGAACTACACATCTTGATAAAAGAAACTCTGTAAATTGTACCTTCAAAATTGTCTCTTCCTTCCACATTTCAATTCCCTTGAAGAAAGACCTAGAAGAGGTCCCTGGCCATAAAAAGAAATGAATCAAAACAATGAAAGAGAAATCAGTATCAACATGCATAGAAACAATGAGATTGTGAGAAAAAGGTCACAAGAGTATACCTATGAAGAGTATGATAATGAGGACAGTAATTAACCAGTAAGGAAAAACAACACTCAAGGAAACACCAAGGGTGATGCCAAGCAAAAGCATGGGCTGGAAGAGGAGAGCCAAGTCATAGTCTATGATGGGCACTTCTCTTGTTGGGTGGGGCAGTCTTAGATTGTACCAAACAGATGATGCTGATGCCCCCATGATCATACCTGCACCAATTCCACAAACCATTTTTTTTTTTAACATAAGATTAAAGACAAAAAGGAACTCAAAAGCTACTTCATCTTTTCCCACATAGAGCGACACTTTCTATGTCAATTCATTTCTCATAGAGCATTAGCTCACTTTGATATTGCGTCGTGGCCGTATTTTTTAAAAAGTATGATTTTTATTTTTTATTTTTTATTTTTTTATGCTTTTAAGAAAATAAATAAAAATTATTTTAATATATTTACAAATTAAAAAAAAAAGCTTTTAAAGTAGCCGCAACTAATACTACCATAGTGATAGAGGGTCGACGTCAAATTTTATACTACAAGAAAAAAAAAAAAATCACTCTTAAACTTTAGAGATCTCCTTTTCACCTGTCAAATTAAAGGCGAATTTCTTAATTTAATACTGTTAACACACATTACTCTATCATATATTAGAGAAAGCCATTCATATAGATGCTATTGCCATACACACACATAAACAACACAAAAGAAGAATGAAAATCAATTTTTTTATTATAAAATAAAATAAAATTGAAGATGTAAGAAGAAGAAGAAGAAGAAGTATACATATATATGAAGCATGTGAATTGAGGAAGTATGTACATACATTTAGAAAGAGCAGCAGCAGACTTGGTATCAAATCCAACAATCAAAGTAAGCATGGGAACGAAAATGCCACCCCCTCCAACTCCACCAACCGTACCGCACGCCGATCCTAGAAGTCCTATCACTGTGGCCAGCACTGTTCTCCAACTGAACTCTAATTTCTGCACAAGAGAATATCAATTAAGAAAACAAAACCAAACACGCCTATGGCATCAAGATTCAATACAATTAACTCAGAGAGACTCACAGGCCAAACTTTGTCTGTGGTGGATAGGTAGGGGGAGGCGAAGATATCAGAATTAGGATTCGGTGAGGCTTTCTCATTTGGATGGGAGAGGAAGAACACAGAAAGGATGGCCACAGAGAAACCTGATAACAGATAAAGCACCAATCCTCTAGTGGCCATATATGTGGATATACAGGAGAGGAGAGGAGAAAGGAATGATTTATAGAACTTGGACACATAAACGTCAGAGAGAGAGAGAGAGAGAGAGATAGAGAGAGAGTGTGGTCTGAACAATCATTAAGAGGAGATGACGAGAATCTCGTCATT